CACACACACACACACACACACACACACACACACACACACACACACACACACACACACACACACACACACACACACACACACACACACACACACACACACACACACACACACACACACACACACACACACACACACACACACACACACACACACAACACACACACACACACACACACACACACACACACACACACACACACACACACACACACACACACACACACACACACACACACACACACACACACACACACACACACACACACACACACACACACACACACACACACACACACACACACACACACACACACACACACACACACACACACACACACACACACACACACACACACACACACACACACACACACACACACACACACACACACACACACACACACACACACACACACACACACACACACAACACACACACACACACACACACACACACACACACACACACACACACACACACACACACACACACACACACACACACACACACACACACACACACACACACACACACACACACACACACACACACACACACACACACACACACACACACACACACACACACACACAACACACACACACACACACACACACACACACACACACACACACACACACACACACACACACACACACACACACACACACACACACACACACACACACACACACACACACACACACACACACACACACACACACACACACACACACACACACACACACACACACACACACACACACACACACACAACACACACACACACACACACACACACACACACACACACACACACACACACAACACACACACACACACACAACACACACACACACACACACACACACACACACACACACACACACACACACACACACACACACACACACACACACACACACACAACACACACACACACAACACACACACACACACACACACACACACACACACACACACACACACACACACACACACACACACACACACACACACACACACACACACACACACACACACACACACACACACACACACACACACACACACACACACACACAACACACACACACACACACACACACACACACACACACACACACACACACACACACACACACACACACACACACACACACACACACACACACACACACACACACACACACACACACACACACAACACACAACACACACAACACACACACACACACAACACACACACACACACACACACACAACACAACACACACACAACACACAACTGAATAACACAAACACGACTAAGATGTGACATGTGTATTTTTCTGAAGTTGTCCCTCTTCTTCTTCTTCTTTTTTCTTCTTTTTTTTCTTCTTTTTCTTCTTCTTCTTCTTCTTCTTCTTCTTCTCCTCCAGACGTGTTCACGCTGCTCCTGGAGGACGTCCTGGTTCTTCTGCAGCGTCAGGACGAGCGTCTGGTCCTGAAGCTCCACGGGAAGAACCTGCCCAGCGCCGCGGACCCCAAGCAGGTCTTCAGCCCCGTGATCCGCCTGAGCACGGTGCTGGTGCGTCCGGTCGCCACGGGTCAGTGTCCCCACGGAAACGGAAAAAAAACACGGAAAAAAACCCACGGAGAAAAACACGGAAAAAAAACACGGAAAAAACGAATAATGGATGTTTACATGACTTCTGTGACTGAACCAGAACTGAACCAGGACTGAACCAGGACTGAACCAGGACTGAACCAGGACAATAATTGAGGATGAAACTGTTTTTGTTTGTTTTTGTTCAGATCATCGCTCGTTCTTCGTTCTCTCCATGTCCGACAACGTGGCTCAGATCTACGAGCTCACGGCACCGACCACCTCAGACCAGCGCACGTGAGGACCAGGTGGACTAAACCAGGACTTGGACTCCTGGACTGACTCAGGACTAGACCAGGACTGACTGAACCAGGACTCTAAACCAGGACTCTGGACTAAACGAGGACTGAACCAGGACTGAACCAGGACTGAACCAGGACTAGACCAGGACTAGACCAGGACTAAACGAGGACTGAACCAGGACTGAACCAGGACTGAACCAGGACTAAACCAGGACTAGACCAGGACTAAACCTGGACTAAACCAGGACTAGACCAGGACTAGACCAGGACTGGACCAGGACTAGACCAGGACTGAACCAGGACTAGTCCGGGACTGAACCAGGACTGAACCAGGACTGAACCAGGACTAGACCAGGACTAAACCTGGACTAAACCAGGACTAAACCAGGACTAGACCAGGACTAGACCAGGTCTAACCTCGTCCTGTGTTTCTGTGTGTGTCCTGTAGGTGGCAGCGTCTGATCACTCAGTGCGCAGACTCCATGAAGGCTCGACTCCACAACCGAGACCGAGACCGAGACCGAGACCGAGACCGAGCCGAGGTCTCCCCGTCTGAGTGAGTCTCTCCTCGTTCAACAAAGACTTTTAGTGTCACAAACATCACACACAAATACGACACGTTTGTCCAGACGGAGAGTTTGACTCCGACACGGCATCAGAAACACCAGGTCATGTGGTTTTGGTTTTGTGACGTAGACAGTTTTTTTGAGTTTCTTTTAGAGAGAAACACAAACGCACAAACACACAGGATCCACTGGAGGGCGCTGTTGTTACAGGCGTTAACTGACAATAGAGTCTTTGCACCGTCACATGACCCCTATAGCAACCAGGGGTGTGCAAACATATCGGAATATCGATATATCGTATCGTTTAATGTGATGATACAGTATCAATATCGTGGGCTCCTGTATCGATATTTCACCAAGAGAATTTTTAGGTGGGTTTTACTAAATAATTTTGTTCCAGCTACAGTTTTGTTGTTTGTTTAGTGAAAGTGAAACTCATTTATGCGACACATTTGACATTTTTACTGTTTTGATTTGATTAAAATGTTTGTGTTTCATATGAACTTTTGCACAAGAAGAAGTTTAACAAAGACTTTTAGTATCACAGACATGATTTAGTCTTTGTTTTTTATTGAACCGTATTGAATCGATTTGAAATATATCATATCGAATCGAAAGTGCACTGTATCGAGATATGTATCGTATCGTGGCCTGTGTATCGAGGTGTGTATCGTATCGGCAACTCCTTAATGATACCAGCTCTAGTTTTGAGTAAAATGGGTGTTTTTCATATTAACTTTGCACAAATTTAGTCGACTTATTGGACTTTTACTTTCACATCCACGATTTAGCCTTTGTTTTTCACTGAACCGTATCGAATCGATTTGAAATATATATTGTATCGAAGAGAACTGAATCAAAAGTGCACTGTATCGAAAAGCATATCGTATTATGGCCTATGTATCAAGATATGTATCGTATCGACAACTTCTTAACGATACCCCGCCCTAATAGTAACAGTAACTACGCCGCCATGACACCGGACACACTGTGTCACTATGTCACTATGTCACTATGTCACTATGTCACTATGTCACTATGTCACTGACTTCAGCAGCGTCGGAGAAACATGAGCAGGTTTTGTTGTGTATTTGTTGTTCTAGAAGCTCTGAAAGGGATAAAATGATTCGATTCTTCACTGTTCCTCTGGAAATGACTCATCAGGATCAAACAAGGGAATTATTGAAAAAAAAAAAAACGGGAATTATGTCTAGAAACATAAACCACGAAGAGATTTCCAATGGTCCCATCAAGACACACTCACGTCACTTTCATCAAGGTGTTTGTTATTTAAATAGTTTCATAGTTTATTTAATGAGAGAAGCACATTTACTGAACTAAAATGTAAAAAGAAACATTTGCAGTAGAAACTGTATGTTCCAGCACATATAAACATGTCACTCGTCGTAGGACCATGTTTTCTTTATTGTCTTGTTTATCCACGACTTTGTCTTCTAGAATTGAATCTCTTTTTGTGAAGTGGATCTTTCTAATCGTTGGTGAGGATCTTTTCATGGTCGATTCTTTGGAGGTTCGTCTCACAGACTCTTCGACTCGTGCGTCGTGTTGATCACAGGAGCCAGTGTGGGTTCGTTGAATCATAAACTAGTGCAGGTTTTCCTCCATAAATTAATGACATTTTAGTTCAGTAAATGTGCTTCTTTCATTAAATAAACTATGAAACTATTTAAATAACAAACACCTTGATGAAACTTCAGGTGTCTTGATGGGACCATTGGAAATCTCTTCGTGGTTTATGTCTCTAGACATAATCGGCGTCTTTTTTTCCCCCTATTTCTGCTCTTGATGAGTCATTTCCAGAGGAACAGTGAAGAATCGATTCGTTTTATCCCTTTCAGAGCGTCTAGAACAACCAAATACACAACAAAACCTGCCCATGTTTCTCCGACGCTGCTGAAGTCAGTGACATAGTGACATAGTGACATAGTGTGTCCGGTGTCATGGCGGCGTAGGTACCGTTGCCATGGGGTCACGTGACGGTGCAAAGACTCTATAAGTAAAATTTTAAAAAACTGACCAGATCCAGGAGACTCGAGTGTAGAGGAAATCAAGCAGAAACACGTCTGAAAAAGTGTGTAAAAAGTATGTTTTTCTGGTTGTGCATTTTATTCAGGCTTTAAAAAAAAAAAAAAAACTCCACATTTTCACTTCTTCATTTTGTGCGTTTGTTGTTTCAGCGTTTCGGCTCATGACATCATCAGGAACGGACTGGACCAGGCCAAAGACTCGAGTGTGACGAGCGAGGACCACGCCTCAGGTCTGTGCTCCACGTCCCCGAAAGTGACGCTGACTGCGGGCACTGCTCTGTCTCCACGTCCCGACTTTTAACGTTCAAACGAGACGCCGACCGCAAGATCTGACGTGAGCGACCAGAGGAACCGATTTCTGTTCTAACGTCGTTTCCTTGTCGCAAACAGACCTGGAGTTGTGTTTGTTTCATTCGCACATGTTCAGGAAGTGCTCTGCAGCGTTTTTAAACTCCACACACCTTCACGAGAATCATCTGGATCGTTTTTTTCAGTCCTGGAGTCGCCGATCTCGACTGAACTGAAGGGAAAAGGAGCTGTACAAACTAAACTGAAGGTTCTTTTACACCGACGGCAGTTGTTGCACCAAACGTTCCATTAGATCTAGAAGCTCTTTGTTGGTTTGGTTTGGTTGGTGTAAAAGTTTCAGTCGCACTCGGATCTGCACTAAATCAAAGGGACTGAGACTCAAAAAAGAGCTGGTCTCGGTCTCGGTCTCGGTCCGTTTGACCCTGCACCAGATGCCAAACTCTGGTCCCTCTGGTGAGATGCCAACTCGGGTCCAAACCAGAGACAGCAGGTCCAAACCAACTATTCCAGATGCATCGTGGGACGGGAGACTCATGATGTCATTTCCTGTTTGTGGTGAGTGAAGAAGACGAGGGGCGAAGCTCGACTCGCGGTCAGAACGTGCCCCAAGTAACAGTGGAGCGACCAAAGGAACCAGAGCAGATTTAACGAGGCTCTGGAAGTTTCCCTGAAGCACCTGCACCGCTTCATCTGAGACCAGCGTCTGATACTGCAGGTCCACCAGGTCGACACGATGGTTAAGGGGTGTGGCGGGGACCGGATCTGGACGCCTGCCCCGGGGCCGGCGGTCTGTAGGTTTGTGAGTCTGAGCTCCCCGGGTCAGGGAGGCTCTTAGGCAGGTTCAAGAAACCATGTGTTCTGGAGTCCGGCCTTCGCTCGAGGGGATCTGGACCGGCCCACGGCGTCCGGACCCCGCAGAGGAGCTCCGTGGGAAGAACACCGAGTGACACGGTGCGCCTCGGCCTCGCTCCTGAGAGATCTGGTGTACATCTCGGCCTCAGTGTCCCAGAGCCTCGGGCAGTGGAACCCGCCGTGCACAGGAGCCTTGGACAAACCTCAGTGGACCAAGTTTGGTTGGTTTGGTGTGAAAGAACAAACTGGAGTCTGTGCTACAGAAAAACTATCTTACTACCTGGAGATGAACAAATAATCAAACCAGTGGAGTGAAAACGCCAGAATAATAAAGAGTTTCTCAAACATGTGAATGAAACAAACACAACTCCAGCTCTGAGTGTGAGGAGGAACATTAGAACACGACTTAAAGCTCTCAGGGGGCAGGTTTATGGACTGTAGGACCTTTAAAAATCTTGTAACTCCAAAAACGAATCGTGTTTTGAGTGAATCACGTGTGGAGAAAGTCCAGTGTTTTGTGTTTAAGAGCAAACCTGGTGTTGCAGACCTTCCCTGTGCCGAGAGCTCGAGTCCTTCAGCTGCTGTGAGGAGTCTGGAGGAGCAGGAGCAGCCGGAGGAGCAGGAGGTGGACGAGGCCGAGCTGGAGGCCTTCCTGGACGGGCAGTTGGCCGAGCGACTGGACCAGGAGGAGCAGGAGGAGCAGGAGGAGCAGGAGAGCCCGGTCAGGACCATCTCACATGACCTGAGCCTGAGCACGTCAAAGGCTGAAGAGGCTCTGCGCACGTGTGAGTCTCACTTTTATTCACGTTCTGTGTGTTTGCCAAAGTCCAGAGTCTCTGTAGAGACACTGTTCTGCTTCAGCCTCACAAACAAACTTTTATTCAAAGATCAAGTCTGTCAGTAATATTTCTACCACAAGAAAACAACATAAAAACATCAACTCGGGCTCTTAAACTCCGTCAGGACTGAGTCGACTCAAACTCCACCAACAGTGTTTATGTTTAACAGAAAATTAAAACATTCTGTTTGAGTGTCATTTTGGGACATTTAGGGCCAGATTCAGGATTCACAAAAACAGTTTAGATTTTGTGACCATCACCAGTTTTTTGAGACGTCTGGTCAAACTCTTGTTATTTTTACTGTCACAGCAAAACTCTGCACAAGTTTCTGAAAACTGTGAAAAGGGTTTCGGGTTTGATCCTGGTTCAGTTCTGATTTGATGTGTGTGTTTGTGTGTGTGTTTGTGTTTGTGTGTGTTTGTGTGTGTTTGTGTGTGTGTTTGTGTGTGTGTGTATTTGTGTGTGTGTTTGTGTTTCAGTATCTGTGCTGAAGCAGCTGTTGTTGAACCACATGATCAGAACCACTGAAGACGACAAACACGAACCTGTGGACAACAACCACACAGACGACCCACCTGCAGGGGGCCCCGGGGGGCGCTCTCCCCCGGGGGGCCCCGGGGGCGCTCTCCCCGGGGGGCCCCGGGGGGCGCTCTCCCGCGGGGGGCCCCGGGGGGCGCTCTCCCGCGGGGGGGCCCCGGGGGGCGCTCTTCCCGCGGGGGCCCCGGGGGCGCTCTCCCGCGGGGCCCTTCCAAACGGACACATCGGACGACCTCCAGAGGAATAACTCTCCTCCAGGGCCCCGCACAGAGGACGGGCCCTCAGGGGCCCAGAGCCCAGAGGAGCCTCCAGGACTCTGGGACCAGAGCCCCGAGTCTGTGGAGAGAGAAACACCCGAGCAGAGCCACCACAACGGTGAGGAGCACAGTGTGTGTGTGTGTGTGTGTGTGTGTGTCTATTTCCCAAAGAAGTCTGACAGCATTTTGTTTTCTTTATATTTTCTTTTCTTTCTTTTCTTGTGTCCTCGTGTCTTCGTGTCTCATGTCTCTGCCCTCGTGTCTCTGTCCTCGTGTCCTCGTGTCTCTGTCCTCGTGTGTCCTCGTGTCTCTCTTGTGTCTTGTCCTCGTGTCCTCATGTCTCTGTCCTCGTGTCCTCGTGTCTCTGTCCTCGTGTCTCTGTCCTCGTGTCTCGTGTCTCGTGTCCTCGTGTCCTCGTGTCTCTCCTCGTGTCTCTGTCCTCGTGTCTCTGTCCTCGTGTCTCTGTCCTCGTGTCCTCGTGTCTCTGTCCTCGTGTCCTCGTGTCTCTGTCCTCGTGTCCTCTGTCCTCTGTCTCGTGTCTCTGTCCTCGTGTCTCTGTCCTCGTGTCCTCGTGTCCTCTGTCCTCGTGTCTCTGTCTCTGTCCTCGTGTCTCTGTCTCTGTCCTCGTGTCTCTGTCCTCGTGTCTCTGTCCTCGTGTCCTCGTGTCCTCGTGTCCTCGTGTCTCTGTCCTCTCTGTCTCTGTCCTCGTGTCTCTGTCCTCGTGTCTCTGTCCTCGTGTCCTCGTGTCTCTGCCCTCGTGTCTCTGTCCTCGTGTCCTCGTGTCTCGTGTCCTCGTGTCTCGTGTCCTCTGTCTCTGTCCTCGTGTCTCTGTCCTCGTGTCTCTGTCCTCGTGTCTCGTGTCTCGTGTCTCTGTCCTCGTGTCTCTGTCCTCGTGTCTCTGTCCTCGTGTCCTCGTGTCTCTGTCCTCGTGTCCCTCAGGCTTCGTGGTTCTGGACCTGTGTGACGGACTGGAGGACGTCTCTGAGGACGACGTGGGCATCGACATGAGTAAACTGTTGTCCTCGTCCTCGCAGACGGGCGGCGCCGGACCCAACCTCAGCAGACAAGTCATGACCCACCTGCGGCTGCTGCAGGCCGACCTGCACTACCTGAAGGTACGACCTGCATGACCTGACTGTACGACCCACGACCTGACTGTACGACCCACGACCTGACTGTACGACCTGCATGACCTGAAGGTACGACCTGAACGACCTGACTGTACGACCCACGACCTGACTGTACGACCTGCACTACCTGAAGGTACGACCTGCACGACCTGACTGTACGACCCACGACCTGACTGTACGACCTGCACTACCTGAAGGTACGACCTGCACGACCTGACTGTACGACCTGCACTACCTGAAGGTACGACCTGCACGACCTGACTGTACGACCCACGACCTGACTGTACGACCTGCATGACCTGACTGTACGACCTGCATGACCTGAAGGTACGACCTGCATGACCTGACTGTACGACCTGCATGACCTGAAGGTACGACCTGCACGACCTGACTGTACGACCTGCATGACCTGAAGGTACGACCCACGACCTGACTGTACGACCTGCATGACCTGAAGGTACGACCTGCATGACCTGACTGTACGACCCACGACCTGACTGTACGACCCACGACCTGACTGTACGACCCACGACCTGACTGTACGACCTGCATGACTTGACTGTACGACCTGCATGACCTGACTGTACGACCCACGACCTGACTGTATGACCTGCATGACCTGACTGTACGACTCACGACCTGACTGTACGACCTGCACTACCTGAAGGTACAACCTGCATGACCTGACTGTACGACCTGCACGACCTGACTGTACGACCTGCATGACCTGACTGTACGACCCGCCCGACCTGACTGTACAACCTGCATGACCTGACTGTACAACCTGCACTACCTGAAGGTACGACACTCGACCTGACTGCACGACCTGACTGCACGACCTGACTGCATGACCTGACTGTATGACCTGACTGTATGACCTGACTGCACAACCTGACTGTACGACCTGACTGTACGACCTGCTGACAGACTTAGTTTGATGAGAGAATCTGCAGCTGCTGCTTCATCATCATCAGAACGACGTGTAGAATATGACACTGTACACACACGTGTGTGTGTGTGTGTGTGTTTGTACACGTGTGTGTGTGTGTGTGTGTGTACACACGTGCGTGTGTGTGTGTACACATGTGTGTGTGTGTGTGTGTGTACACGTGTGTGTGTGTGTGTACACATGTGTGTGTGTGTATTATACATTAGTGTGTGTGTGTGTGTGTGTGTGTACACATGTGTGTCTGTGTGTATTATACATTAGTGTGTGTGTGTGTATATTAGTGTGTATTATACATTAGTGTGTGTGTGTGTGTATATATTAGTGTGTATTATACATTAGTGTGTGTGTATATTAGTGTGTGTATATATTAGTGTGTATTATACATTAGTGTGTGTGTGTGTGTATATATTAGTGTGTATTATACATTAGTGTGTGTGTGTGTATATTAGTGTGTATTATACATTAGTGTGTGTGTGTGTATATATTAGTGTGTATTATACATTAGTGTGTGTGTGTGTATATATTAGTGTGTATTATACATTAGTGTGTGTATATATTAGTGTGTATTATATATTTGTGTGTGTATATTAGTGTGTGTGTGTGTGTGTGTATATATATTAGTGTGTGTGTGTGTGTATATGTGTATATATTAGTGTGTATTATATATTTGTGTGTGTATATTAGTGTGTGTGTGTGTGTGTGTGTGTATATTAGTGTGTGTGTGTGTGTGTATATTAGTGTGTGTGTGTGTGTGTGTGTGTGTGTGTGTGTGTATATGTGTATATTAGTGTGTGTATATTAGTGTGTATTATACATGTGTGTGTGTATATATTAGTGTGTGTATATATGTGTATATATTAGTGTGTGTGTATATATGTGTATATATTAGTGTGTATTATACATTAGTGTGTGTGTGTGTGTGTGTATATATGTGTATATATTAGTGTGTATATATGTGTATATATTAGTGTGTGTATATATTAGTGTGTGTGTGTGTGTGTGTGTGTGTGTATGTATTAGTGTGTGTGTGTGTGTGTGTGTGTATATATTAGTGTGTGTATATATATTAGTGTGTGTATATTATGTGTATATATTAGTGTGTGTATATGTGTATATATTAGTGTGTGTACATTTGTATATGTTTGTGTTTCAGGAGGTGGAGCAGAAGTACAGGCAGCTGCAGCACAACCTCAGTGACACCACAGACTCTGAGGACTACACAGGTACACACTCTTATAGTACTCACAGTACTCACAGTACTCACAGTACTCATAGTACTCACAGTACTCACAGTACTCATAGTACTCACAGTACTCATAGTACTCACAGTACTTACAGTACTTACAGTACTCACAGTACTCATAGTACTCACAGTACTCACAGTACTCATAGTACTCACAGTACTCACAGTACTCACAGTACTCACAGTACTCATAGTACTCACAGTACTACAGTACTTACAGTACTCATAGTACTCACAGTCACAGTACTCATAGTACTCACAGTACTTACAGTACTTACAGTACTACAGTAGTACTCACAGTACTCATAGTACTCACAGTACTCATAGTACTCATAGTACTCACAGTACTCATAGTACTCACAGTACTCACAGTACTCACAGTACTTACAGTACTTACAGTACTCACAGTACTCATAGTACTCATAGTACTCACAGTACTCATAGTACTCACAGTACTCACAGTACTCATAGTACTCACAGTACTTACAGTACTTACAGTACTCACAGTACTCACAGTACAGTACTCACAGTACTCATAGTACTCACAGTACTTACAGTACTTACAGTACTCACAGTACTCATAGTACTCACAGTACATAGTACTCACAGTACTCACAGTACTCGTAGTACTATTTCTGCCAAACAGGAGCATCTGGTCCACTGTGTGTGTACACGGTTGGACCAGGAGCTTCTGTGTTGTTGAGTCTGGTTCTAAGTGACGTCTTTGTAAAAATCCCTGTGACTCGTGCGTCAGGCTCCTCACTCCTGTGGATCAATCCTGCCCATCACCTTCACCTTTCACTAGTTTTCAATTCCGTTGGGAAGAGAAACAGTTTGAACAGAGGTTTGAGTCACACACATCTGATTCACTTTTGTATTTATGAAGTTCACAAACACATTTCTCGAGTCGTTTTCCGCTGTTTGGATCCAACAACCACAACAATGACGACGTCCGAATCCCAAAACTAAAACATGACAATATCAGAACCAGAAACAAAAGTGAAATGGTTCGTCCGATATTCGTGTTTATTCAGGTGATTTTCTGTGAATCCTTGTGTGTTTTTCACCAACTGTATTTGTGTTTGTTTTAGACTCGGTGATTTGAGCGCCCCCGCCTGGACACTGCAGAGTCAAACACTGGACACACACACACACACACACAGACCAGCAGGGGGCGCCGCGTCGGGCCTGAGCACCACTCCACCATTCCACTGTTTTTACTCAAACCTGCTCACAGGAAAAGTGCGACTCCGAGGTGGATCTTCTGAAGTCGGAGTCGTGGAGCGTCGATCAAACTGCGGCGCTCGTCCTTTTTTTTTTTTTTTTTTCACATTCCAGGATTTAAACACATTCCCGTCGTCACTTCTGTGGATAAGAACACGGCCTGGAGACTGCACGAAGAGGAACTGAACACACTCTGTAAACAGCGAGGAAATATGAGTTCATGTAGAGCAGAACATATATACAGTTTATATATATATATATATATATTAAAAAAAAACAACCTGTAGATGTGTTTTATTGTTTTATGATGCGTTTGCTTTTAACACTTTGAATCCTGAACTTTTCTCACGTATTGGAGTTAAAATCTGAAGTTTTAGTTTGATCCCTGCTGACGGACGCGCACACAGAGCTCATTAAAAACACAAATGAACATAAAGACACACTGAGTTTATTTATTTTGTGTTATTTTATTTCTCCTAAATTATGAATCTATTAATGCACGGAACGTCTGTCCATGTCTCCTCCTGTTTGTTTGTTTGTTTGTGTCTTTGTTTGTTTGTTCCGTGGAGACGCTCGAACTGCTCGTCCGACTGATCTCCAATCTGGAGGGTGTTACCGTAATGGGACGAGTGTGTGCAGTGCGAAGTTTCTTAGTCTACGTTCAGTCTGCAGGTTTAACGCTCAATTCAGATTTTTTTTTTTTGTGAAATCCAATGTTTTTTCGAGTTCGTTCACATTTCCAGTTAAATGTGACTTGTATGTGACTCCAGTGTGAACATTAAACGGTCCAAAAGTGTCCCACATGTGACACTGGAGACACGACGACGTCAACCGCAGCGAGCGTCTCTGTGTTTACACAAGTTGAACAAACATGGACGCAGCATCGAGCACCTGGAGATTTTAAAGTTCCTCTCGTACCGGAGCCACAACATGAACAACTGACTTGTTTTAAGGAGGAGATTGAGAAGGAGAAGGAGCAGGTTTTTGGTGGTGGTGTTTTGTGGTGAGTGGAGATGTGCTTCACTTCAGTCACATGGATCATGAACAGTTTTCTCCTACTTCAGTGCAGAATAGTGACGTTTGTGTCTTGTTGATGACGTGTAGGTGGATGAATGTGACCTGACTGTTCACACTCAAGTCACATGTTAAAGATCAGATATGGATCAGTTTCAGGAGCACAGATCCAAGTGTCCTGGTCACATGTGAAAACATCACATCTGTGTGGTTCAGACTCACATTAACCCTCTTTTAGCCCTATCTACCTACCTACTTACTTACTTACTTACACTACCTACCTACTTACCTACCTCCCTACCTGTGCGTCATGTTTTACAGGAGGTGCCGAGTGTTGTGGTTTGTCATCTAATCTGTCCATTACAACAACTTCAACTTCAACTTACAATTCAAAGCTGGAGGCTTTGAGAGGTGACTATTACCTGCTCAGCTGTCACGCCCTGTCCTCTTCACTTCCCTCGGCTCAAGTGGAACCTCTGGCCAAACCGTGAGAGGACTGTTGTTACAGACCACAAAATAGTCACGGACGCACAGGGGACATATATATATATATATATATATATATATATATATATATATATATATATATATATATATATATATATATATATATATATATATATACACTACAATCACACGCAGCGTGACTCTGACAGAAGCCCATCGTGGACTCCTGATGTGGTGTAGAGCTTCTTCCTACATTGTGAACGACGGATTAATAACTAGCCACACTAGCATGATTCTCAATGTCTCACGTGAGTCCACCACACTTATTATTTTACCATGTTACTTGGTTATTTAAGTGTGTGTATGTGTGTGTGTGTGTGTGTGTGTGTGTGTTTGTTTGTGTGTGTGTGTGTGTGTGTGTGTGTGTATTATGATACAGAATTCATAAAGCATTGTTTTTTTTATTTGTCATTTGGATTTATGCTAATATCTACATCTGTTCAAAGGTGCTGCAGCCCTGAAGCCTATAGAACATAATGACCACATGACAGAGACAAATACTACTACTACTACTACTACTACTACTACTACTACTACTACTACTACTACTACTACTATGCTTCTTCTGTCATCTCCTCATCTGCACTGCTGCTGCTGCTGTTAATATTGTTCAGTTTACCTTTGATTCTCCTAAAACTGGGAAAGGTACACGTAAGTATTTTTTTGTTTTTTTTGTTTTTCCTCTCTCACTCTGTGTGTGTGTGTGTGTGTGTGTGTGTGTGTGTGTGTGTGTGTGTGTGTGTGTGTGTGTGTGTGTGTGTGTGTGTGTGTGTGTGTGTGTGTGTGTGTGTGTGTGTGTTTGCGTGCATGCGCGAGCCTGTGCTAGTTTCTTGTTATACAGTTTATAGCACAAGTTTAAATTGGACTTATTTATCTTATAGGTCAATTCTTTTCTTGCAAAACATGGACCAGAACATGTCACTCCTTCAGATCCACATCATGTGTATGAGGACATGTTATGAGATAAGATTCATACGTGTGTATGAAGAAATGTCATCCTGTCACCTTGACGACGACGACGACGACAATGACAACAACAACAACAACCTGATAAAATAGAGTCAAAGAAAAGCCTCTGACGTCTTGTGACGTCTGTGCTCATGTTGCAGCACTTGGCAGGACTTGCCCAGAGCTCCTATTGCCTCTTCTTCTTCTTCTTCTTCTTCTTCTTCTTCTTCTTCTTCTTCTTCTTCTTCTTCTTCTTCTTCTTCTTCTTCTTCTTCTTCTTCTTCTTCTTCTTCTTCTTCTTCTTCTTCTTCTTCTTCTTCTTCTTCTTCTTCTTCTTCTTCTTCTTCTTCTTCTTCTTCTTCTTCTTCTTCTTCTTCTTGTGACATTGTGTCATTTCATGTGCATATTATTACTTATATGTGTTGTAATTCAATATCCAATAAATGATTTTCTTTGTTTTTAACCTTTTGTATGTGTAACAAAGTGTAATAAAAAAAAATAAATAAATATATATATATATATATATATATATATATATATATATATATATATATATATGAATATGCAGTACCAACAATATGCACTTTTGATCATTATTATGCATAATAATAATAATAATTATAATAATTATTACATCGTAAATCAAAAGACAGTATTAGATTTATGTGTCTGAAGTCAAGAAAAGGTATGTGTCAGAAGTGGGATTCGAACCCACGCCTCCAGTCGGAGACCAGAAGTCCCGTTTCTAAGGAAGGAAGGAGATTATCCTTGAGTCTGGCGCCTTAGACCACTCGGCCATCCTGACACGTTGTGAAAACACAAACACAAGTATATATTTAAGCGCTAAACCGTAAAGCGTGGTGACTCAGTATTTGATTAAAGTACTACGAATATTTTGAAATCACGTTTACGAATGCATATCGCTATTTTTTATGTTTAACGTGTCTCTAGAAAGGAAACGTCACCTCATTGCGATCGCGGTTGTGTTCAGACGCTGTTTATCGCCAAAGACGCAGCGTAAACCAGCGGGATACAGCCTAACTTCTATTTTCTGTTCAATGCTTAAATGTTTTAATTTAATTTCATACAAACAAACGGAGCATTTTCTTTTAGCTGTAAAATTCATAGGAAGTAGCCTTAAAAGTGGACATGCGTAGATAAGGCGCATTACTGCCACCTACAGGACAAACACTGAGTTGACCAGGCAGGATCATACGCTGATTATTCATTCACTGGTTTGTTGTTGTTGTTGTTGTTGTTGTTGTTTTTCTTTATGAAATTACGGTTTTGGTGTAGTTAAAAATGAAAGTGAACTCCTAAATTAGGGAAAGAAGTTATAACAACAACATTTGAATGGTTTGATCACACTGCTTTCATCAATCTCCTCCATAAACCTTTTACCCAATTTTATTACGGCAAATATAGTCAAGTAGATACAAAATAAATAAAAAGTAATAGCAAAAGTTTAGCCCATGTTTACTCCAGGTTGAGTCCTGGTTTAGCCCATGTTTAGCCCATGTATTATTATTATTATTATTATTATTATTATTATTATTATTATTATTATTAGTAGTAGTAGTAGTAGTAGTAGTAGTAGTAGTAGTAGTAGTAAGTAAATAATAATATCATTATTATTACAATATACTGGACTGATCTGAAGGACAGCACAAGGGTTAAAAGATCAGATACATGAACACAAAAGCCAAAAAATCAGATTTGGGAAACTTCAGGTGACGTCTGAAAGACATTGGTCAATCACACAACCATAACCAGTCTGTCACATAACGGCCAAAGCCTCATGCACATGATACTGAGTCTGAGACAAACAATCCACGGAGCTCTTGGCTGGAGAACGAGGCTGCACTTGGAAACCATGAACAACTTGTGAAATTATCGCTGCCGTGTTCACACAATAACCTCTTCATGACACTTCATGAAACGGCCTGTTCAGCCGATTACCCGAGCGTGTTCTTACCAAACTGTATTATCTCATTTGATCTCATCATCGTGGCTTATTTAAAATTCAGCAGCTACACTCGCCTGCAAAGATTTTGGTCCTTACAATTTATTTTATTTTAATTTTTTAATTTATCAGGGACAACGCACATAAAAAATAAACATTGAATTACACAAAGAAGTTTGTGCAGGTTAGAGCAAAATGGCCAATTTCCCTGCACAGGTTGATGTCATAAATGGCGCACATGCCAATAAAATACAGTATAATGTAAACTGATGCAGTCGTCCATCCAGTCGATCAGGAAGTAAAACTATAGTCTTATTCAGTCTCAGTCGCCACATCCAAACACTATTTACATATAGTCCGACGAGGTTCATTTGGTCTTCTGATAATTTATGTTACTAGGTTCTTTTTTCAGACCAAGGGTTTGTTTTCATACTTCACAGTTTCGACTGCTCCCTGCGCAGCTGATTTAAACAGGTTTTGGCGACTTCCTCAGGACAGAATTCCAGGTGTGTGAGAGTAAAAAAGCCCCTCGTCCCAGGTTTATCGTCTCACACACCTGCGGTTCTGTCCTGAGGAAGTGGGACTGCAGGTGGCGCTGTCGTCCTGCCTCCACCAGTAGGAAAACAGCCCCAAAAACTTGTTTAAATCATCTGACCAGACACGTCACAGCAACATCACGTGACTCTGAGGAAGACGCTGGTGCACAGTCCAAACTGTCAGGGATGAAAACAAACTCTTGGTCTGAAAAAAGAAGCTAATAACATAAACTATTTACATATTTACGCTTCATGTTGCTGCGTTCATACAGGACAGATTCATGTGCACAGGTCTGTTTGGTTAAAAGCCGTCATGATTTGTACATGATATAGTTTCATGTGGGAGGTTTATGGTTCTGTAGGAGGATGATGACCGACCGACCAAAAGAGCGTCTGCGTGTTGGAAGGCGGCGCTCTCCCGCGGTTGTGGAGCGTGCGCCTCGGCAGGTCGTCTCTGAACTGAACACCACAAACCCTCTCAGTGGGGGAGCAGGTAAATTATGAATGATTTTAAATAAGGTTAACGTTTGATCAAATTTAAGCAAGTTATCAACATTTTACAATTCACTCATGGTCAATAAACTTGGTGGACTACATGCTAAAAGTCGTGTTGGCGTCTGGTCAAACTGGTGCTGTGTCCTGAACATCGAGCATGGGGAGACAGGAGCAACACGTTACAAATCCAGTGTTAATTAGGTGTAAATCCTGTTTCATCGTCTACAGGCTGTACATTAGTATGACTTAGTGATGCGTAGATGACGCCTCAGTGTGTGTATCACACTTTTCCCTTGTGTGTATCACACTTTTCCCTTGTGTGTATCACACTTTTCCCTTGTGTGTATCACACTTTTCCCTTGTGTGTGGAGACTGTATCACACTGTGTTGGTGAGTGTGTGGGTTCCATCTAGTGGTTTAAAAATGTACTGCAACTATACTACAAAAGAAACACGTTGTAATGAGTTTGCATAACTAAGTGCAAGATCTGACCATGTGAACATAATAATTGGGCCGATGTTCAATCATCTCTGTGAAATTAGAGTGAATCTTCTTGTGATGATTCATGTGTGTGTCATGTGAGTGTGTGTGAACATCGCACACATTGTGCTTGTAACATTTGAGTGCTTGTCTTTTTTTTCCTTTTTGTGGGGGGTGGATTTCAAACATTTTTATTAAGAAATAGAACTTTTTGAAGCATGTTTGGGCTCAAACGATGTCTCCTCTTGGAAACAGTTTGTTCTCTTTCATGTCGAGCTCTACTGTGTAATGCTGGAGCACTGATGATGTGTTTCGAGTTGCACAGGACAACTCCGCTGAGCATTGACGACATTTCACCTGTGGGTCATAAAAATACTTATAAAAGACTTTGTCTGCCATGGAAACGGGAATGGAATATAAATGACCTTCTCAGGTGTTGAGATCAAAATGATCCACACGGAAGAAAACTTTCTCTTCCTTGGAGGCTCCACAGTGACGAACGACGTCGTAGCAGCGAGTGGCTCGATCTGTGCCGGACGTCCTGATGTAGAACTGACGCCTCAATGACACGTGACACAATGTCCTACAATACGACACAGTCACTGTGTTGGTCACGTGACTTTTCTTAAAGCGATACGCTCAGTGACACGGCTCGGCTGAGGCGATGCTTTCAGCGCATGATACGTGTATCTGTGCCTCGGCTCGTTTAGACCATCACTAGTATGACTTAAAGCCACAGTTTGTAACTTTTCTAGCTCAAAAAGTTCAATAAAAGCATGATTATTGTACTGAAAAACTTATAAAAACACGTGTTGTTACTGTTGTTCTGGGGCAGGGATGTGTAATAACCCGGACAACAACTCTAGCAGAGTCTCAGAGGAACTGAGTCGAGCTGAGACGATTTCCAGTGCAAACCCAAAGTGTGTTTATTTCACCATCAAAAACATTAAAAAAAAAATATTTACAAAAAAGACAAAGTTAAAAACAAGCATGACACGAACCTGAAGACACACACAGCGCTTTCAGGTGAGGCTGGCTCCTTTTAGAGACTAACTCCCTTAACTGGATGAGCTCATTTCAAAGTACAGGTAAGTACAGGTAAGTACAGGTAAGTACAGGTAAGTACAGGTAAGTACAGGTAAGAGATCTCAAGGTTTAAAAAGTTTAACATCAAAAACAGTCTGTAAATATTCAATCAAATCTGGTACAAAAATATAGACCTTCATTAATAAAAAAAAAAAAAAAAAAAAAACTTAATAGAAATTTTATTTAGTTTTTTCATTTACTGATTTCATTTACTGATTTAAATTTAACAACATACAGGAAGAACAAAACACAAGCAGACACTTACTAAGGGCAAATAAAAACACCAAGGACATCGACTAAAGGAACAAGACACACTGGAATATGCAAAACAAAACATGAACCATGACAGTCCGATGAGGTTCATTTTGGTCTTCCGATAATTCATGTTATTAGGTTCTTTTTGCAGACCAAGAGTTTGTTTTCATCCCTGACAGTTTGGTTTGGTCCTGGTTTATCGTCCTGTGGGCACGTTTCCGTATTTCGATTGCTTCTTTAATCCAGCGGCGATGTTTGTTTTCCTCTGTCCCAGTGATGTTCGCTCCGTCCCAGTTCATAACGTGGTTCTGTCTCTTTTACACTGGTCAGAAACGGCCGATTTGAGTTGTTCCTGTTCTGCTTTGTGTTTTGTTGCTCGTGTTTCGCCTTCGCTGTTTCCTTCTCGCGTTTGTTCTATGTTCAGAACAGAACGCGAGAAGGAAACGCTGGATTAAAGAGACAATCGAAATACGGAAACATGCCTACGGGATTATAGATTGGGACGAGGGGCTTTTTTACTCTCACACACCTGGGGTTCTGTCCTGAGGAAGTGGGACTGCAGGTGGCGCTGTCGTCCTGCCTCCACCTGTAGGAAAACAGCGCCAAAAACCTGTTTAAATCATCTGACCAGACACGTCACAGCAACATCACGTGACTCTGAGGAAGAGTGAACAGTTCAAACTGTCAGGGATGAAAACAAACCCTTGGTCTGAAAAAAGAACCTAATAACATAAAAGAACCATGACAGTAAATCCCCGTCAGCTCCTGTCAGCCGAGTTTGCTGTGATGTTACGCTGTGACTTAGTGCAGGGAGCAAAGGGAGGAGAGACTCAGAGTGACTCAAACTAAAGTGAAACTTATAAAACATGAATACATCGATAAAATAGAATAATAATATAGAATTTTCAAAACAATAAAATGAACACGGTGATCTAAATATGTAACATGTTACAGTTAATGCCCCATACCTCCTCTGGTCCAAAACAGTCCAGTCACTTTGGCCTCGTTCACTTTCTGTGTTTAGAGTTTTTATTTCAGTTTTCATTTTTTATTTCTCTTTATTTTTTGTTCTCATCGTGGCACAAGTCCAGTTTATCTTCAGGTTTGTCTCGTCTCTTTCACCAGAGTCACAGAGGAACCTTCGCTCACCATCCTAAACCCTGGAAACAGAGGCTCAGAGAAGGACGAGGAGAAGGTCCAGAGGTGGAACAGTTCTCCAGCAGAGGAGACGTCATAGAAGGACAGAGCTCCAGCCTCAGAGTCCAGGAACACGCCCACTCTGCCACAGGGCACGCCCCCTCTCTCTGAGTGACAGCAGCGGTGGAGGCGCGTTGAGTTGCTGTTGTACCAGACAAAGTACTCTCCGTCATCGTAGATCCTCAGACACCAGGAGTGATCGTTGAATCCAAACTCACACTCCCCTCCCCCGCTCCGTCTGATCTCTCTGTAACTCACTGCTATTTCAACCCTCCTCCCGCTCCAGTCCACCTCCCAGTAACAGCGCCCCCTGAGGCCGGTGCAGCTCAGGACCTGAGGCCGGACTGTGAACCTGTCGTCATGATCTGGATACTCCTGCTCCTCCTTCACGCAGGTCACCGTGCGATGGTCCTCAGACAGAAGCATACGTCTGTGAGCTGTGTTTGGGTCCAGAGAAACGTCACAGGAGTCTGAAACACAAACACTTCACCTCAGTCTCTCTTCTGGTTGTGTCCTGGTCCACACCTGTCACACACCTGTCACACACCTGTCACACACCTGTCACACACCTGTCCGAAACAACACAGTCGCTCAGACGATTGAGAGGAAAGTAAAGGAAAACTAGGCTGGGTGTATTTGAAACTCTCTGACACAGATTTATATCGTGCAAATGAGATGAGTGTGGCCCTTGTTTACAGTAAGTAACACAACGGAATCACCTCTACATGTCACATCTGCGGCTCATATCCCGGTGAAATGATAAACTTCACCAGAATGGTCCAGTGAAGGAAAACTGAGCGAGATTTGAACCCATTTGAAACAGAGTGAATGACCTGAGTGAATGACCTGAGCTGTTCTCTGCACTTTACTGTGTGAAGGAAACAAAACAGACTCACACTTCCTCAGACCTGGAACCATCCAGCGCTCTCCAGCAGGATCCAACCTGAAACACACAAGTCCAGTTTAGACCAGACCAGGACCAGACCAGGACCAGACCAGGACCAGACCAGACCAGACCAGGACCAGACCAGGACCAGACCCAGACCAGACCGGACCAGACCAGACCAGACCAGACCAGGACCAGGACCAGACCAGACCAGACCAGACCAGGACCAGACCAGGACCAGACCAGACCAGGACCAGACCAGACCAGACCAGACCAGACCAGAGACCAGACCAGGACAGACAGAGACCAGACCAGGACCAGACCAGAGACCAGCGTTCTCTCACCTGACAGACAGCAGGGGGCGCTGGTCCTGTAGAGCGGTCAGGAGCTCGGCGGAGGGTCCTGGATGGTTGTAGCTCAGGTCCAACTCTCTGAGGTGGGAGGGGGCGGAGCTCAGAGCTGAGGCCAGAGCAGCCCCGCCCCTCTCTGAGACCAGACATCCAGACAGCCTAAAGACACAGCATTACACTCATGTGGACACAAGGGGGCAGAGTGCATCATGGGAGCGTCTCACCTGAGCGTCTCCAGTCTGCAGGGGGCGCTCTTCAGTCCAGAACACAGCAGCTCCACTCCTGAGTCCTGGAGGTCGTTGTGACTGAGATCCAGATGTGTGAGACTGGAGGAGCTGAGGACTGAGGCCAGAGGAGCACAGCTGTGAGGAGACAGACCACAGCCACAAAGACTGAGGACAGAGAGGGACATTAGAGACTAGAACCTCCACACAAGAGTTTAAATACAGTCTGAGACAGAGAGGGACATTAGAGACTAGAACCTCCACACAAGAGTTTAAATACAGTCTGAGGACAGAGAGGGACATTAGAGACTAGAACCTCCACACAAGAGTTTAAATACAGTCTGAGGACAGAGAGGGACATTAGAGACTAGAACACACAAGAGTTTAAATACAGTCTGAGGACAGAGAGGACATTAGAGACTAGAACCACACAAGAGTTTAAATACAGTCTGAGGACAGAGAGGACATTAGAGACTAAAGTCTGAGGACAGAGAGGGACAGTCTGAGGACAGAGAGGGACTAGAGACTAGAACCTCCACACAAGAGTTTAAATACAGTCTGGACTCACAGGGCTTTTGGTGGTAGGCTCTGACCACCGGCAGCAGACCCAGGAGAGCGTTCTCTGAGGCCTGGTATTTCCTCAGGTCAAACTCCTCCAGGTCTGAGTCTGAGGACAGTAAGACGAAGGACAGAGCAGACCACTGAGCAGGAGACATGGTTCCATCAGAGAGGTATCTTCTCATGTTCTTCTGTATCTCCTGCACCAGACTTTGGTCGTTGAGCTCGTTCAGACAGTGGAGCAGGTTCAGACTTCTCTCTGCAGACAGACCCTCTTCATCCAGCTTCTGTTTGATGAACTTTACTGTCTCCTGATTGGTCGGGTCACTTCCTGTGTGAGTCAGCAGACCCTGCAGCAGCCTCTGATTGGTCGGCAGAGACAGCCCCAGGAGGAAGCGCAGGAACAGGTCCAGGTGTCCGTTTGGACTCTGTAAGGCCTGGTCCACAGCAGAGCGGTAGAAGGCCTCAGGGTCTGGACTCTCAGAGGAGTGTGGTGTCTCCAGCAGGTTCTCTCCAGAGCTGTAGAAGGTCTGATGGACGTGAAGAGCAGCCAGAAACTCCTGCACACTCAGATGGATGAAGCAGTAGACCTTGTCCTGGTACAGGCCTGGCTCCTCTCTAAAGACCTGTGTGAACACTCCGGAGTACACTGAGGCCGCTGCAGCGTCCAGCCCACACTCGCTCAGGTCACTCTCGTAGAAGATCAGGTTTCCTTTCTGCAGCTGCTCAAAGGCCACTTTTCCCAGAGACTTCACCATCTCCCTGGTCTCTGGAGTCCAGTGTGAAGGTCCTCCCCTGATCCCTGCTGATACTTGATGTTCTGGACTTTGGCCTGCACCACCAGGAAGTGGACGTACATCTGTGTGAGAGTCCGGGGCAGCTCTGGTTCCTCTGTTTGTTCCAGAAGCTTCTGTAGAACTGTGGAGAGGATCCAGCAGAAGATCGGGATGTGGCTCATGATGTAGAGGCTGCGGACGCTCTTGATGTGGGAGATGACGACCGTGGCCTGGTCTCTGAGCTTCTTCTTGAAGTACTGCTCCTTCTGCGGGTCGGCGAACCCTCGCACCTCTGTCACCATGGAGACGCACTCAGCAGGGATCTGATTGGCCGCGGCGGGGCGCGTGGTTATCCAGAGGAGAGCGGAGGGAAGCAGGCTCCCCCTGATGAGGTTCACCAGCAGCACGTGCACTGAGGCGGACTCTGTGGGGTCGCTCAGGACCCGGGTTCGGCCGAAGTCCAGAGGAAGTCTGCACTCGTCCAGACCGTCAAAGATGAAGAGCACCTGGAGCTGTTGGAAGCTGCAGAGATCTTTGGATGGACTGAAGAAGTGGTGCAGCAGCTCCACCAGGCTGAACTGTGTGTCTCTGAGCACGTTCAGATCTCTGAAAGTGAAGGGGAACAGCAGCTGGAGGTCCTGGTGGGTCCGGCCTTCAGCCCAGTCCAGACTCGAACTTCTGAGTCAGCACTGTTTTCCCCACGCCGGCCACGCCCTTCGTCAGCACTAATCTGATTGGCTGTGGTGAATGTGGGCGGGGTTTAAAGAGCTCTTCACATGTGATGGTCTCTGGAGCGGCCGGTCTCCTGGACGCCGTCTCCACGTGTCTGACCTCATGTTCCTGGTTGACCTCTGAGGCTCCGCCCTCTGTGATGTAGAGCTCTGTGTAGATCTGGGACAGGGGGGCGGAGTCTCCTGGTTTAGCCACGCCCTCAAACACACGGCTGAACCTCTGCTGCAGATCACACTTCAGTTTATCTCTGAATCCAACTTTACTCCCTTTAAACAACACACAAGAGTTAGAATGTCAAACATGTCACATATTTCATACAGGAGGAAACCTGACACACAGGGAGGGACCTGACACACAGGGAGGGCACCTGACACACGGGGAGGGCACCCGACACACGGGAAGGGCACCCGACACACGGGGAGGGCACCCGACACACGGGGAGGGCACCTGACACACGGGGAGGCACCTGACACACGGGGAGGGCACCTGACACACGGGGAGGGACCTGACACACGGGGAGGCACCTGACACACGGGGAGGGACCTGACACACGGGAGGGCACCTGACACACACGGGGAGGGCACCCGACACACGGGGAGGGCACCTGACACACGGAGGGCACCGACAGGGCACCTGACACACGGGAGGGACCTGACACACGGGGAGGGCACCTGACACACGGGGAGGGACCTGACACACGGGGAGGGCACCTGACACACGGGGAGGGCACCTGACACACAGGGAGGGCACCTGACACACGGGGAGGGCACCTGACACACGGGGATACAGGAGGATGGGAGGGCATCTGGAGGTTCTTACTGTCTCTCAGGCGCTGGGCCAGATGTTCCTGGTCCATCCTCTTCAGGAAGTCCAGGGTGATGTTCAGAACCTCTCTGCTCTCCTCCTCCTCACTCTCGGAGCATTCTGGGTAATCTGAGGCCAGGAGCCTGTGGAGCCTCTGCAGCTGCTGTTGGACAAACCTCAGGACCTGCTCCTCCAGAACCTGGAACCACACACTGTGTGAAGAAGTGTTCTGAGTGTGACGTCACCCACAGCTCAGCTCCAAATGAAGCTCATGGAGGCCAGCACTTAGAGCGACCTCGACAAACCATTTTCCTCTTATGAATTCTATCTAGACATTATTTTTTCCACTCCTGCCGCGTACGGTCCACACCTCCACACTTTGTCCGGTGGTGGGTTGTGAAAAAGTCTCTAGTGTGTTTTTGTAGTATTTAGTGTTGAACTAAACATACGTAGAGCTGCACTTTACTTTAGACTGTAAACTTTACACTAAGTATGTAAACTTTACCCTTACACTGTAAATTTTATAGTAAGACTGTAAACTTTAGACTTAAGTCTGTAAACTTTACATTTAGACTTAACCTTTACATTAAGACAGTAAACTTTACACTTAGCTTGTAAACTTAAACTTTATATTTAGACTGTAAACTGAATGAAAACTTTACACTTTGTCTTAATTTACACTGTAAACTTTACATTTAGACTTAAACTTTACACTTAGTCTGTAAACTTTACATTAAGACTTATACTTTACATTTAGTTTATAAACTTTACATTCAAACTGTAAACTTTGCATTTCCACTGTAAACTTTACACTTAGTATGTAAATTTTACATTTAGACTTAAACTTAACATTCAAACTGCAAACTTAACATTAAGTCTGTAAACATTACATTTACACTGTTAGCTGTAACGCTGCTCTGATCTACAGCTGAGAAACAACCAACACTGTCACAAGCAGCAGATTCATTTACATGTGAACTTGTGTGTGTGTTAATGTGTGTGTAGTGTGTGCGTGTGTGTTTGTGTGTGTCACAGCACAAACCTGGAAGATGGAGTCCAGCTCTGTCTGAGGCTCTTGACCAAAAGGAACGCCCAGATCCTCGTCTCTGTCAACCAATAACAACAGAGTCCTGTTCAGACCTGGTTCAGACCTGGTTCAGACCTGGTTCAGACCTGGTTCAGACCTGGTTCAGTCCTGGTTCAGACCTCAGACCTGTTCAGTCCATAGCTCTGACGTGAGTCTTCTAGTCTTTGGAGTTTTAACTCATCAGAGACTCTGCGGTGGGTCCATAGGGTGTGTGTTTTGTGTATTTGTGCAAAGGTGTAAGAGCAGCAGCAGCAGCAGCAGCAGCAGCAGCAGCAGCAGCAGCAGCAGCAGCAGCAGCAGCAGCAGCAGCAGCAGCAGCAGCAGCAGCAGCAGCAGCAGCAGCAGCACATGAGCCGTTATCGCTGAATTACTTTACATTTTCACCAGTCAGACAATTTACACCATCAGTGTCACACGAGCGTCCAACAGTCGTCATGACGCCACTCGCTGCTTAAATGAAGTTGGAGTTGTAATTTTTTAGCATCATAGCGTCTCCAGACGTTTATCAGGGCAAAACAGGAAATAAACACGATGTGTCAAAATGAACTTCCTGCTCTTTCAAAACCCGTTGTGTAAAATCTCTAGAGCGACGTAAACACCGAGCGTCACATCAGGAGCTCGAGGAACGAAAAACACTTCACCACATCAGACCGAAACTTTACAAGAACAAGTGAAGAAAAAGACGCGAGGAGCAACACGTGAAAGTGAAACGCAGCTCCACAGATACGACTCGTAACACTGCAAAACCTCCACAAAACCTCCACAAAACCTCCACTGACACTTGAGTTTAGAGATTTAAAACAGAACAGAGACGATCGACAACGAAAACATGAACGACGGGAAAAGTTTAGAGTTTAAATGTGACAATACACAGAGTTTAGAGTTTAAACATGAGAATACAAAGAGTTTAGAGTTTAAACGTGAGAATATGCAGAGTTTAGAGTTTAAACATGAGAATACAAAGAGTTTAGAGTTTAAACGTGAGAATATGAGCAGAGTTTAGAGTTTAAACGTGAGAATACACAGAATTTAGAGTTTAAATGTGAGAATACACAGAGATTAGAGTTTAAACGTGAGAATACACAGAGTTTAGAGTTTAAATGTGAGAATACACAGAGTTTAGAGTTTAAACGTGAGAATACACAGAGTTTAGTGTCACTGATGCTCCTGGTGTAAATTCTCGGCTGCTCTTCCTTCTCTTTCTCCTCCTTTTCTCTTTTTTTCACTCTTTCTTTAGTGTTGTAAAAGTGTGAGACTTGAGGTTAACCTTTGATTTGAAACTTTAAACTGTGACACTGACCTGAGGTGTGCAGAGGCTTCACTTTGGTCTTTTTTAAAGTCGATGCCAACGAGTTTGGAACGGTTACTGCACAGAGAGACGCCGCTGGGACCAGGACCTGCTTTAGACCCGACATGGTCCTGGTTTAGTCCTGGTTCAGCTGCTCCTGGTCTCTTCTCCATTCTCCTGAAAGGAAACAAACTCAGTGACAAGTGTTAAGGTTCGTTCACACCAAAGCGTCAAAAAACACCTTGACGTTTCTATTTGGAGCCTTTACATTTGAGTTCAGACGCCCCCGACGCTCGTGTCTTTGACGCCGTGGACGAACGGGACAAAAATACTTGACGTGCGTCCGTTGCCCCTGGAAACAAGAGCCCGGTCCTGGACTTTTCCCAAACAATGTCAGACCAGACTGAGAGACTTTAGTGTTTTTATCACATAAAACATCAGCGGAGGAAATCGACTCAATGACTGGAGCCAGTTTATATTTATACTCCACTAATGACACTGGATCAGTCCTGGTTTAGTCCTGGTCTAGTCCTGGTCTAGTGCCGGTCTAGTCCTTGTTTAGTCTCAGTCTAGTCCTGGTTTGGTCCTGGTTTAGTCCTGGTTTAGTCCTTGTTTAATCCTGGTTTAGTCCTGGTCTGGTCCTGGTGATGGTCTCGGTGTTTGTGGTGTATATATTTATGTTCCGTTCATGTTTCTGGTTCTGGGGTTTTTCTTCCTGATAATAACGTCTCTGTGTCTCTGGATACTCGTCCCTGATTGGTCGACGCGGCGCTTCTGACGCGAAAAGTTCAGCATTTTCAACTTCTTGACGCTGACGCCTTGGATGCGCGTCTAGAGAGTCAACGCTAAAACGTTCAAGACGCACCACATCGACGCCAGATTCACGCCGCGCTGACGCTGAAGACGCGCCGCAAAAACGCAAGAGGCTCTAGTCGCGCGTCCACATCGACTTTACACAGAAACTGGACGATTTGGTGTGAACGAACCTTTAGAGATTATGTGTGTCTGTGTGTGTGTGTCTGGTGTGTGTGTGTGTGTGTCTCTGTGTGTGTGTGTGTGTGTGTGTATGTGTGTGTGTGTGTGTGTGTGTGTGTATGTGTGTGTGTGTGTGTGTGTGTGTGTGTGTGTGTGTGTGTGTGTGTCTGTGTGTGTGTGTGTGTGTGTGTGTGTGTGTGTGTGTGTGTGTGTGTGTGTGTGTGTATGTGTGTGTGTGTGTGTGTGTGTGTGTGTGTGTGTGTGTGTGTGTGTGTCTGTGTGTCTGTGTGTGTGTGTATGTGTGTGTGGGTGTGTGTGTGTTTGTGTGTGTGTGTGGTGTGTCTCTGTGTGTGTGTGTGTATGTGTGTGTGTGTGTGTGTTGTGTGTGTATGTGTGTGTGTGTGTGTGTGTGTTTGTGTGTGTTGTATGTGTTGTATGTGTGTGTGTCTGTGTGTGTCTGTGTGTGTGTGTGTGTATGTGTGTGTGTGTGTGTGTGTGTGTGTGTGTGGTGTGTGTGTGTGTGTGTGTGTGTGTGTGTTGTGTGTGTGTGTGTGTGTGTTGTGTGTGTGTGTGTGTGTGTGTGTGTGTGTGTTGTGTGTGTGTGTGTGTGTTTTGTGTGTGTGTGTGTCTGTTCTCGCAAACCCCTCAAAGTGAGGACCGTTGTGAGTTTTAGACCAACAGAGTGAGGACGATTTTTCAAAGTGAGGACATTTTGCTGTGTCCTCACTTTGTCAAAGGCTCAAACGGCTCAGGAGGCCTCTGCTGGTGGCCTGAGGCTTTGCACAGAAAGTCCTCAAAATGATAGTCAAACGAAAATTTTTCACCAGACTTCACACACATTTGCTCTGGAGCGCCCTCTCTGGTCAAAGTCTGGTACTGCAGGTAAATGACTCAAGTGCGCCATAGTGGACAAAACAGGTACTGCAGCACACAGGCTTTTCCCATTGAGCTCTACACGAAATATTAATATTACATTTGAACTAATATTGAATTAATTATTAATATTACATTTGAACTTCCACAAAAGGAGCACAAATATGAATAGAAATATAGAAAATATCGAGACATAAGCAGAGACAGAGACAGAGGACAGAGACAGAGGAGCAGAGACANTCTACAAAACCTCCACTCTGACACTTGAGTTTAGAGATTTAAAACAGAACAGAGACGATCGACAACGAAAACATGAACGACGGGAAAAGTTTAGAGTTTAAATGTGACAATACACAGAGTTTAGAGTTTAAATGTGAGAATATGCAGAGTTTAGAGTTTAAACATGAGAATACAAAGAGTTTAGAGTTTAAACGTGAGAATATGCAGAGTTTAGAGTTTAAACGTGAGAATACACAGAATTTAGAGTTTAAATGTGAGAATACACAGAGATTAGAGTTTAAACGTGAGAATACATAGAGTTTAGAGTTTAAACGTGAGAATACATAGAGTTTAGAGTTTAAACGTGAGAATACACAGAGTTTAGAGTTTAAACGTGGAATACAGAGTTTAGAATTTAAACGTGAGAATACACAGAGTTTAGAGTTTAAACGTGAGAATACACAGAGTTTAGAATTTAAACGTGAGAATACATAGAGTTTAGAGTTTAAACGTGAGAATACATAGAGTTTAGAGTTTAAATGTGAGAATACACAGAGTTTAGAGTTTAAACGTGAGAATACATAGAGTTTAGAGTTTAAACGTGAGAATACACAGAGTTTAGAGTTTAAACGTGAGAATACATAGAGTTTAGAGTTTAAACGTGAGAATACACAGAGTTTAGAGTTTAAACGTGAGAATACACAGAGTTTAGTGTCACTGATGCTCCTGGTGTAAATTCTCGGCTGCTCTTCCTTCTCTTTCTCCTCCTTTTCTCTTTTTTTCACTCTTTCTTTAGTGTTGTAAAAGTGTGAGACTTGAGGTTAACCTTTGATTTGAAACTTTAAACTGTGACACTGACCTGAGGTGTGCAGAGGCTTCACTTTGGTCTTTTTTAAAGTCGA